TAGTATCCCTATGCGTATCACAGAGACAACAGCAAACAATGCCATGAGTATGCATTTGTTCATTGCCATCCGAGTTCTGAACAAAAAAAGGGAAAAAATAATCAAATATACAAATTTGGGGGACCCTTGGAGATAAATTGTGGCTGTATGCTTTTTCAATAACAATGAGGCAAGTTTTACATATTATAAAACTGTTCTTCTTTCAATGAGAAAGAGCCTTAAACGTACATGCAGGCCCATTGGAATCTGGGGTACCCTAACATACAGTGAAGGAGATTGGTTATTTAATTATAGTTCAAGTTATTTTAACATGTATTTAGTAAAATTATTTTACTCAGTTGAGATGTAATGTACATTAGATTCTATGGCAATTAACCAACCTTTTCTCCTAATGTCACGGCTAGTTTCTAGTGCTGGTTGTAGCTCGACACACAATGATCGTTTTGATGTTTTAAAAATGCTATGTTTATTATCTAATTGTATAACCTGGTTGCGTACGTAGCAGCTATAAAATCACTTTCAAGTTTGTTCTGATGGGAATGTTACATAACTATGCACAATCAGTCGTAGGATCATCTGAGTGGTTATAATTATGGGTAAATTCCATGAAAACTTATGTGGCTACTCTCTTGATAAAGAAAAATAAAGTTAAAATAAAGTAAGCCATGCTCTAGTAACAAAAAAAAAAAAAAAAAAAAAAAATGCACATGCAGTTATTTGAGGGAAAGGTTAGGCAATAATAACAAAAAGCCTATGACAGACCAAATCATTTTTTCAATGACACTATACTAGACCCATTGGGCCCCTTCGGACGGGGCCCGTTGGTCCCGTAGAGGGGCCTCCTACTATTGGCTCCTTTTGGCCACTCCTAGGGCCACTCCTTGCTTTGTCACAGCCAGATTGTATTGCATGTTTGCGGTGTACAGTTTATTATATGAAATTTCTGAACACAAAGGAAGACGACCTTTGCACAGCAGATAATGCTGTCAAAATGAGATCTGGATAAGAGACTGAGACCGGGTTCCCACGCTTAGATCGATCCATCTCGACCGGACTAACTCCCTGGGGAGTCTCACTAAATTGCTATCAACTTAACCGGCTTAAATGTACATACGAACCGAGCATCGGTGGAGCGTGAATTCCCATACATACTGTATAAACCACTTCTACTAGTTCTTATACGACTCAAATTAATTCGACACGCCAAGAGAAAAACTGAATAGATCACTCGATCATCCATAAAAGACCTTTAGACTGATCCTTTCTTTAAATTTTTGGTCGGAAATTTAACCTACTTTCGTGACCTACTTTTCTGCCCTATTGACATACAGCATAGAATGCTAGCAGAAAAATCCGTTCAAAGATCATTTCCGGGTAGAATTAAACAATGCCATTTGGCGATTCTCTTAGTTATACTACTTGAAACTATATGCTGGCATTTGGTCGATTTTTGTGGCAAAAAAGTGACTTCGTATGCATCTTTAAATGTCTGTCACGCCTACCGAATCAGCTATGAGGTAAAGGTAATTACCCCCTAACAGCTTTACAAGGCGTGACAGACATTTAAGCCGGTTAAGTTGATAGCAATTTAGTGAGACTCCCCAGGGAGATAGATCGATTCAAATATATGTGGGAATGGTCCCTGAGGGTTAGAATATGCAATTCTCTCGTGGTCGCGGACAAGCCAATTTTTATAGGACTGCATTTCGTAAAACTTGGTGTTGTCATGTACTGTGATATACATCAACGTGATGGTGATGGTAAATACTGTGACGTTGCGAGCAATATTCTTATTTAAGAGGTTACATGTACATACACATTATCTGTATTTTTCAATAGACAATCCCGCATTAGTTCCTTTTTCTAGTTATCTCACTGTGTTTCACAGTCATGGGATTCATTCTTGTTCGTTTGAGGAACATAAGTCACAAGGTTACACATTTCTTGAGTTAAAGGTGAAAGGTGCGTGCTCACTCCGAGGCAGATACAGGTAATGGCTAAATGTACAAAATTGTACTCATTATTTGTATTGACACACTGTCTGTAAAAAAAAAAAAAAAAATAATAATAATAATAATAATTGTAAAAAATTACGCTCATGGTCATATGAGGCATTTTGTTCCTTTTTTGCTTGCCCTTTTATCACAGGATGATTATTCAACAAAACTATCCTTGTGATGAGAATAATTTGTGAAATGATAATATTTAATTCAAACGTTTTTATTGAGACTCATGCAAATAAAAAATAAATAAACAAATAAAAACCTTTTTCTCCATTTAATTATAGGAAAGGTTTGAAATCTCCAGTTTCTGAGTATAGAATGCATTTAATTCCTGCAATGTCATATTTATTAAACAATATTGGAAATCTACTAGTACACTTGTCTCATCTGAGATAGAAATAATAATAATAATAAAAAAACAACAACTATGACTTCATTTCAAGTATCCTTGTATAATTAATAACGTAACAGCATAAATAACAATAGAAGTATTACTTGCAGGTTAAAATGCACATTTGATTTCAAGATTTCCAAAAAAAAAAAGAAAAAAAAAAAAAACATTGGTGTTACAGTGTAGTTGAATGCCTGTACTAGTATGTTAGTTCTCATTAATGTTATGTACATGTATTTTTAATTACACGTGTTCGGTCACAATCCAATTAATAATAATAATAATAATAAAATAATAATAATAAAAACAATTATAATATTAATAAATACATCCTTTTTAAGACTGCACTCCACATTTGTTCCAGCACTGTGTACAATGTCAAGATTAAAACTGAACTTTTACAAAATCAAATGTAAATTTAAGAACAAGACATCACAGTTCAAAAAGTTCATCTGACATTTTACTCTCCTTATTTGGCCATGCAGATATATTTCTAGAGCATCTCATTTTCCCCTTGATAATCTATCATAATCACTGTGTTGATCTTGTATAAGGAATAAATAAATGACATTCAAAAAAGTATCTGTAAAGATCAATTATGATAGAAAGTTGATTTTTATTGAAGGGGCACATTTTTTCTATCATAGTTGATCTTTACAGATATATTTTCAATGTAATTTATTTGTTTTCCTTGATCACACTTTAAAACTGTTTTCCTTGATCGCACTTAGTGCTTACTAAGTGCTTACTATATGAACAAAATTTGGCAAAACTGCAATTTTGCCTTGACAATGACTCATACAGCACTTTTAACAACAATTAACCAAGCAAAATGAAAAGTAGGAAAAAACATGAGATTATGTATTATTGACTTTTTGGTCCAATGGGATAAAAACATGCTGATTCACAAAGAAAAAAAATGGAATAAACATCATCATATTATAGAGAAAGGAAATGCACAGCTAATGATGTTACACCTGAAAATTGCAATCTTTTTACAAACACATTCAATTCTGTATTGTAAAAAAAAAAATCATCCAACAGATGGAGATGAAGCAATGAAATTAGGAGAAAATATAAATAACTGTGTCTTTGGTTATTTGGTCACATTTTCATTTCATTACAGTATGATAGTATAATATAATTTAAAAACCCACCCAGCAGGTTAGGATTAAAAAAAAAAAAAAAAGCTGAAGGACATAGCCTTATTTTTGAAATAATATCTTGACGGACGCTTAACATGCATCTGTGTCTCTTTGCTTCAACATATGTACGTATATCAAATAGTCAGCCCCGACTAGTACTAGATTGAAAAAGTATATTGTTTTAATCAACATTTCAATGATACATACTAGTTACATCAGACTAGTGCTAGATTGTAAAAGAGTATAATATTGTTTTAATCTAAATTTCAATGATACGTATTAATAAATACTAGTTACAACGGGAGTATGTATCAGTGGGACTTTTAAGCGGTTGTGCCTCAATATAAATAATTACCCTCTTGTACTCGGAATGTGGCAAACAGTGGGTAATGAGTAGTTGTAATTGATTTTCCCTACAATTGGCACTTCAAACAATTTTAGAATGATTTAATACTTGGACTGCAGAGAAAATACAAGCGAGCATGTAAGCAAATACATAAGTTTAATTATTCCACTGTTCAAAGTGCCAGCTGTGGGATGAGCATATCCCCATCATTCATAATGTTCCACCCTGAGCTTCAGAGCTAACTTGACACTAACCTCTTCACTGTAGCCTATCTCCATCGTGTCAAGTAACCTCTGACGAAAATAGTTTGACCTAGTTTATATAAGCCAATCAAATCCATGTTTCAAAATTTTTCACCAAAGTTTGGTGAAAACGCTGATTGGTTGACCGTCAATCGGCAATCCTCGGCTGATTCCGCAAGCTCCATACTAACAACATAGTTATTGTCGAGTGCGGAGACATCCGAGTAGTTCCGAGTGTATTACCGTACACAAAGAAAGCAAGGCGAGTGACTACGAAAAAGAATGTGTTAAGTTATCTCTTGATTCTTTGCAAAATATGAGTAAATCGGAATTGAAACCATAGGGTCTAGCAGTTTGAGGCCCTGCATCATTATCTACTGAGAGACGATGTAATTTGCGTGCTGCCCACAGGTTACGGCAAGTCCCTGATATTCAGCCTTATCTTTGATTGGTCCGGATTTGAACAAAGCGCGCTTTGACTCGTTCGCGTTCATTGGCTAGATCGTTTAATGAGTCATTGAGTGCGGGCTTTTAAATTTGATTGGCGGGCGGCGGAGGCAATCGAATCTGGTCAGAGGTTACTTGACACGATGAAGATAGGCTACAGTGAAGAGGTTAGTGTCAAGTTAGCTCTGAAGCTCAGGGTGTAATGTTCATGCAGTCAAAGAAAAATAACACTATCTGTGGTTAAGTGCTGACAATATATTCTCTGAACTTTTAGGGTGCTTTCCCAGAGATTTAGATCGATCTAAAGAATAAGTTTTAGATCGACCTAACTCCCTGGGGGTTCACGCTAAATTGCAGTCAGCCGAGCGGGCACCATAGTTAATTACCCCTTTACAGCTTTTAGTAGGCGGGACAGACGCTTAAGCTGGCCAAGCTGACAGTAATCTAGTGAGACTCCCCACAGGGATAGATCGATCTAAAAATCTATGGAAATGGGGTGTAACAATGGTCTCAACACCCATGCACCAGTGGAAATAACCTCCACAACCACTTGTCTCTGGGACTACAGTTACTGTTACAGTATATATAAATTTGAACTTGTTAACTAGTAATAAAAGACTACCAGCAATCCAGTGAATAACCTTATTATTATTATGTTCTCCTTTCTTGTAGGTATCTTTGTATTAACATCTTCATGTTTCGGTTCGGGAGGAGTGTCATGTTGGGTAATGTGGCATTGGTCATAGGACTGGAGGTTTTCCCACTGTTCACCCAGGCAGTGATTGCACTGCGCTCGTACGTGTAGCCATCTGAAAAAGAAAAGAGTCAATTTTCCTGAAGAATTAAAGTTTAGTATGTTTTCAGGCATCAACATAGTAAATAAACTGTTGCTGAACTGCACTCAGTGGTGCAGCCAGCTGGATTGATAAAGTAACAAAATAAAGAAATTTTAGTCTTTTTTTAAAATAAATAATCAATGTCTGGCACAAGCTATTTGCATACAGCAAATCAGTTTTTGAACTCTTATTTGCACTTCATCCTTTACTGCTGTAGAGCTACTGGAATAAAAACACAAACACGTCAATTTATTATCAAACTTATCATCTATTTATTAATGTATTTATTATTTTATACCTGAAGCCATGACTGGTTCTTTCATAACCTCCCTGGTGATGGGACAGAGATACTCGTCTGGTACATCACTCTCTGCAAAGAACATAAGAGAACAAAAATTCATCTTCTATTTCAAGTGAGAGAGAGTATTTGTGAGGGACCATCTCAAATAGTCTAGATGACAGGAAGTTAATAGTGCAACATGGATTGTGCAACAAAAAGTACACAAACATGAAATAAAAAATTAACCAAGCGAGATTTAGTTCCAGCTTGTCATTTTTAAAATTTTTATTTTCATTGTTACAGAATACAGGTGTGATGATGATAAAATAAAGATGCTTTACAGGGGTCTTAGAAAATAGTTGAAAAAATGTTGACATTAGCAACTTGTTACCCTGCAGGCATGAAAGTGTGAAAGATAATTAAAATAAATGCACAGACCTAACAAACTAAGATCACACAACTGCTAACACCATTCTCTTCTTAATATCTTACTGAGCCCGAATATGTAATAGTTTCATTATATTATTCCCCCCAACACAATACTTTTTCTTATCTTCAAAAGCTCAGCAACACAAATGTTTCTTATCTTAACATGCTCATCCACACAGCTTCCAAACAAAAACCACACAAAAAAACACACAAAAACCCATGACTTCCCAAATTTACATGTATCCTAAAAACTAACAAATTAAAGACTTTTTAGATTTTCTTCACCTGATGCTGCTTTTTCTTGTATGATGGGGTGTGCCATAACCTGCTTCACTGCTCGTAATATTTTATTCCTGTGGCCGAGTGCATCTGAAACAAATACAAACAGTATGAATTTTTGATAAGTAAATGTGAAGTGCATATCAAAACAGTTGGAGCACATTCAAAACAGATCAAATATGACAACCCACTAAAAAGCTTGCCNATTATCAAACTCACAATCTATTCATTATTGCATTTAATCATTTTATACCTGAAGCCATAACGGGTTCTTTCATAACCTCCCTGGTGATGGGGCACAGATACTCGTCTGGTACATCACTCTCTGCAAAGAATATAAGAGAACAAAAATTTATCTTCTATTCCAAATGAGAGGGAGTATTTGTGAGGGACCATCTCAAATATTCTAGATGACAGGAAGTTAATAGTGCAACATGGATTGTGCAACAAAAAGTACACAAACATGAAATAAAAAATTAACCAAGCGAGATTTAGTTCCAGCTTGTCATTTTCAAAATTTTTATTTTCATTGTTACAGAATACAGGTGTGAAGAAAAAATAAAGATGCTTTACAGGGGTCTTAGAAAATAGTTTAAAAAATGTTGACATTAGCAACTTGTTACCCTGCAGGCATGAAAGTGTGAAAGATAATTAAAATAAATGCACAGACCTAACAAACTAAGATCACACAACTGCTTTATCTAACACCATTCTCTTCTTAATATCTTACTGAGCCCGAATATGTAATAGTTTCATTATATTATTCCCCCCAACACAATACTTTTTCTTATCTTCAAAAGCTCAGCAACACAACTGTTTCTTATCTTAACATGCTCATCCACACAGCTTCCAAACAAAAACCACACAAAAAAACACACAAAACCCCATGACTTCCCAAATTTACATGTATCCTAAAAACTAACAAATTAAAGACTTTTTGGATTTTCTTCACCTGATGCTGCTTTTTCTTGTATGATGGGGTGCGCCATAACCTGCTTCACTGCTCGTAATATTTTATTTCTGTGGCCGAGTGCATCTGAAACAAATACAAACAGTATGAATTTTTGACAAGTAAATTTGAAGTGCATATCAAAACAGTTGGAGCACATTCAAAACAGCGGACATACAGATCTACAGATCAAAAATGACAACCCACTAAAAAGCTTGCCACTGAATTCCTAATTAGATACTTAACAAATTCCCTGTGGGATTATGCAACATGCATTCAAGTGTGTTGGCCACATTTGATCCCCCGAATCTGTTAGTCTGCTGTTCCGAATGAGCTATTGGACATTAAAGTTAACCATATAATGTATGAAATGTGCACCAAAAAGAGCACAAACAGGAAACAATTTTACTCTTGGGATTTCATTTCAGCTTGTTATTTTACAAATTCTGGAAGCAGCCCCAAAGAGATGCATCCACCAACTGTTCCTACCCCTGTGGGAGCCAATGGCACTCCAATAAAAGACTACACAGTCATGTGAAAAGCTGCAAGTGGCACAATCATGATTTTTAAAATGTTATTGCTCTTTTTAACCACTCTGCAAAGACCATCAACTTGTCATCAAAGGTATTACACATATACATTTACATTATGTATGAAATGTGTATAAAGATGAAACTAGCAGGCTTTAATACTATCCATACCCTCTTAAAACCATTTATGCATAAAGATGCAACTCTAGGGCTTAAATACTATCCATACCCTCTTACAACCATTCAAGCCCTTGCATACCTATTTCCAGATCTTTCTCCAGTGCCTCCTGTGTAAGTATAGCCAGTTCTGTCCCATCTATGGCATGTTTCCTGAAGCGGTCAGCATACTGGTCAAGTCCCAATTCCTGCACCCAAGAAACCACATTCTCCACTGTCCACTGTTCGATGGGCTTTTTGTTCTGTGCCAAGACCTCTTCACTGCCTAATAGGTCTACATATGTTGCTGTGTCTGCAGCGGAATTATAATAGGGAATTTACTCGATATTTTCAATGGGAGGAAATGGTGAATTCTACAGATCCTAAGTGTACTTTTGAACTCAAAGATTTCTTACAATAAGAACATTCCTATAGAGTGGTAGTAACAAACTAAAATATGATCTTTTCAAAAATTGTGCATTTTACAGATACTGATTTCTTAGAATTAGAACATGCCTATTGAGTGGTAGTAACAAATTAAATTAAAAAGCAGGCTACTCTATGATTTTATTCTCTGCAGTAAAAGCACTACAAAAGCTATGTGGATGTATAATTTTGAGATTATAAGATGAAAATTTGATATTTTTGGCCCATTGAAGGTACAGGGACAGGATAAACAAATTATGAATCTTGTTTTAAGCCAAGATGGGCCAAGTAGTTGTAGCCAGGATTTTCTAAGTCAAAAAAGGTGTTTTTTTTTAAAGAGTGCACCTCTTTACCCTTTTAGTTGAACATGATATAAAATATACATAAATTTTGATTCAGAGGTCTTGCATGGCAAAAAGGGTGATTCCTTCTAACTCCCTCCCCCCCCCAACCTATGGACCTGGGTAGTGAAATTGCCTATGGGCAGATTATATCATATACAAACCTGTCAGTTCCTCTTCTGAAGTTATTTTCCATATTTTGACAGTCTTGTCATTAGATCCTGAAGCAAGGAATTTACCATCACCAGAAAAGGCACAGCATGTCACATATCTGGGGGGGGGGAAAAAAAAGATCAGATTTACTGAATCACGAAGCATGACTTTTCCCTCTTTGTTTGTCCACTGTGTACACTGAACAATCATCCATTCACTTAAAGGGATAATAACTCTTCGTATGAGATCTATATTTCACAATAAAAACATTGTAAATAACTCATAGAAATATAATGTATTCTGTTTTACGACAAAAACAGCAGTTATAGCAATTATTCTGATATCTGAGCTTGTCTTCAGATCACGTGATCCCCATTGATGACTATACTCTGTTATAATCTCTTAAGAGATTTTAACAAAAAACAAACGTTTTAGAAAAAAAACCAGGGACTAACTCTGAATGTAAAAATGGATTTATTAACCATTGGTAAGTATGGGAAAATTGTTGTTTACTCCAGGAAAATTCATTTTTTGGCCAAAACGAAGAGTTATTATCCCTTTAAAAACAAGTACTTTTTTGTTTTTCAAAATCAAACTATCATTCATTGATTAACAACAAATAAATACATACATTTCAAAATGTTAAAAATATATTTGGCTGCCTTCATTGTATTTTGTTAGGTGCAGTTCTGTTAATAAGCCACTGGTTAAAGGGCTTCCCTTGCTAAAACTAAACTATTCTAAAATAAACTCTAATGGAAAACTGGAAATAAAATGACTATTAATATATAAATATTTACCTGGAGTGTCCTTCTATAGTGTGTAATGGCTCCCCTTTGAGCTGAAGCCAAAAAAAAATATATATATATAATAAATTCTAATATTCTCCTACAAGATATATCAAATGCAGGCGAAAACTCTTTAACATAAAAATTTTAATTTCTCAAAACCGAACGATCAAGTTAGGTTGTGTAATGTGAAACTTAACTGACATCAAAAAGTGAAAACAGCTAGATGCATTTTTTTCTGTTCTTTTATATTTTCTTATCTTTTATATCCTCTATATGCATGTACATATACTGTTCTGTCAGCACTAAAATGCTTAAAACAAAATTATATCAAGAAATGAATAATAATATCACAACATGGATGCTGATTATTTCATCAATCAATCATCAATTTCAACAATTGTTTTACAACTATGCAATCTGGGAAAAAAAAAACCTACATGCTGCTTTCAATGGAATGAATTGTTTTCTTAGGTGTAAATATAAATACAATGTGTATGTATAATAAATAAATAAATAAATAATTAAATACTCACAGGGTCCCACAACCTTACTGTTTTATCACCAGACCTAAAAAATATAAACAGTCTAATGTAAATAAATGTCAACAGCATCCTTTTGTCAAAGATAATTTTGAAAGTAAGAGAAAAAGGGTGGGGGGATATTAAACAGTAAATGCACAGATATGCAACTTGACCTGAAGCAGAAAAGAAGAAAAAAAGTGCACTGATTTACGGGACATCCAAATTTAGGTACTTGTACTCATAAAAAACTTTGTCCCTTATCCAGGCCAGGATACAAAAAACAACTGTAGATGTAAATATTTATACATATTTGTTCATGCATTAAGCCCCCGTCACACTTATTCGGAATCAGCAGGAATCAAGCAGAACCAGCCGGAGTGACTAAATTTAAAAATTTCGTACTTCATTCGGGAAGAAATTTCAATTTGACCTAAATTCTTGTAAGAATGCCGTTGGAATACTCGGAATGTGCTTGAATCTGCCTGGAATGATTAACTCTCAAATGCAGCTCGAATGTAGTTGGAAAACTAGGAATATAAATAATGCTGTCAGAACGCGGTCAGAATATTTAGAATACACTTCGAATACAGTACAAGTGTAGTTCGATTGCTGGCTGAAATAGGATTGAGATGCATTCGAATTGCATCCTGGCTCATTTTAGCAGGATTTGAAGTGTCTTGCCATTTGGGTTCTCCCTCAAATGTGATCAGAATGTTTCGAATGTTGTAGGAATGCCATGAGAATATTTAGAATACAGTCTTAGTGCAGTTATAATACTATTCAAATGCCATTCGATAATATTCCACTTGGAATGCACTTTGAAAGTTTTTAACGTGAGCAAAACATTCGGGCTGGTCAAAATATTTGGAATGCACTATGAATTTTTAGAATGCTCCTCGAATATCCAGGAACGCACAAAGAATTGTCTTTCTGATGGCATTCTTGCTCATTCCGCCTCTAGTGTGACGGGAGTATTACCACCTGCCCCAGAAATAATTTAGGCTTTTTATAACTATATTGAAAAATAACTATGCAATGCTATTTCATATCTATCATGGTTATTTAATTACAATTTTAGCTTCATGTTAAATTATTTTGAGTTATATATCATGTATCACAGCAAACTTATCAGGAATACATTACATTCACACACACTGAAAAATATTATTATGGAAAAAATCACAGTGAATAGACATGTTCACTGAATTTACTGGCTTAGATTACAGTCAAAGAATTCGCTTTCAGCTGGGAACTTTTATCCCTAAATTTGTCATTTGAGAATTGAATTCAAACAATTTTTTCTTTTGGAGGGGGGTGGGGTGTACTTGTTTATATTTGAACAAACTGGATGCTCTCCAAGTGTATTCAACAACAATCTTATCACTGTGGAGCCAGGCATATCCTGTTTTCAGTAAACAACAAAATTACAATGATAGCCAGACCACAAACGACACAAGTGTTCATGTCAGAAGGCAGTGGTAGGGTAGGACAATTCAAGTAAACCACATCTCTTAATGGGAAAAGGTTCTCTCTGCTTCAAAATCTGATCTAGGTTAAGCTGTAACATTAAGGTAAAAAGTTCCACCTTAAAAAAAAGGACTCCCACCCCTATGAAATTGATGCTACAGGCCTGACTGTTCAAGTTTTTATAGGGGTTACTCATAAAAATTAATATTATATGAACAAAACAAACATATTGATGATCTTCAAAAACAATCCCAGCGGGCAAATTATGTTGTTTTAACATTGAAACAACGTTGAACCATAACGTTGAAAAGACATTGAATAAACGTTGGATTTGAAAGTTGTGTCAACCTCAGATAACAACGTTGTATCAACGTCAGAACAGTCACCTCCACCTGTCTATCTATAACAGGTTACCAAGAACTGTTAACTCCATAACATTTACAGCAACTTATTCATCCTAGTGTTAGCTCACCTTGCAAGCAGTTCGAATGTATTTCTGAACAACAAGTTAAGAAAATTCACTAGTTAACTAAAGACACAAAACAACTGTCACTTTTACTTTAAAACCATTTTGTTATTATTTTGATAAATTTAGTTACAGTATTGATAAACAAAGTATCACGTTTTCAATAATTAATATTTTAAATTACAATCCATAACTGCAAGGTTGTGTCATTGACCAAAATACAACGTTGAGTCAACGTGGCTGGATCAACGTTGATTTAACTTTGAATTTAGGTAGATCAACGGCAATTCAACGTATCAACCTGTTTTCAACGTTGATCCAATGCAACTATGCCTGCTGGGACTGTTTGGAACTTTGAACTTGAACTCTGTGGACAGAAGCAAAACCAGTTCCTAGGTCATCTTAACAACCCTCTATGTATAAATAGCAGCTGCTACATTGATTCCTCAGACCGCACAAGAGGAATTCAAGTTTGTGCCTTTCAAGTCATAAGAAGACAAGATGGTTTTGGCAAGTTTAATCTTTGCATTTCTACTTATATCAGAACTCGGCACTGACAAAGCGTTAAGTCAGGTGGCACCAAACGCTGTATGCTCATGCCAAGAAGCATACACTTTTGAAGACGGCACGACAACAGTTGTCCTGCAACTGCCCAAGACCAGCACAACAGTTAGTACTGGTAACCAGAGCCTCAGCGAACTTGAACAGAACAACCAAAAACAAGCCCAGATGTTATCTTCGCAGGGACTTCTATTGATGCAGCAGGCCAAGCAAATTCAGCAAATAGAACTAGAACTCCAAGATCTCAAACTGTCCATTTCTAAGCCACCTGCTGACTGTCAAGATGTGCTTGTGTCAGGCAATTCTCCCATATCCGACTCTCAGATCACGGCGTCGTCCATGTGGGATTCTAATCACGGCCCTGCTCACTCTAGATTGTACGCCAACATGGACCAACATCGTGTCGGATCCTGGTCAGCTCGCATCAATGACAACAACCAATGGCTGCAATTTGACTTTGGACATGTTAGAAAACTGACAGCCATTTTGACCAAGGGAAGAAATCAGTTCGCTCAGTTTGTCAAAACATACCAAATTCACTATGGCAACAACACTTTGTTGATGAAGGACTATAGAGATGGAACTGGCTCAGTCAAGGTAACTGATCTGTTATCTCTTATCTGTCACACCCTATAAAAATGCCAACCCAAGTGTTTTTATGGTTGGAAATGTGTTGTATATTTTGTGATGTCTGTAACATTTTTTAATCATTTCATATTCACACCTCTTCATGTTAAGATCAGCAGTCTGGTAACATTAACACTAAACCAGTGGCGGATCCGAAGATATTTTCTGACAGTCTTCCAAATTATCTTTGTTGCTTCATCCTCCATTTTTGACCGTCTTCCGACAGAAAAAAATTAGATACCCATCAATGTAAACTTAAAAATCTGACCGTCTTCCGTAAGACCCAGAAGACGGCCTAAATCCGCCCCTGTAAGCCTTAAAGAAAAAAAAAAGTTGATAAATGTGCTGAGGTGCAGTAGACAAATGCATCATTTTATGAAATATAGAAAAAATTAGACATATCAAAAGTGATGCAAAACGAACAATAATCCAAACAACAATTTGCAGGAAAGTATGCTCGCTACCTGTAACATTGTGCATTTTTTTAAAAAAGCAGCTACATGTAGCAGAAATGAAATAAGCTAAAAAATTAATTGTTCTACTTTCAGATCTTCCAAGGCAACATTGACTTGGACAATATTCACGAAAATGTTTTGAACCCTCCTGTGTATGCTCGCTACCTGCGTATTAAACCTCTCACTTGGTTCATGCACATTTCTATGAGAGCCGACGTGCTGGGGTGCTAGCAATTTAAAGACATTACATTACTATTATAAATGCACATGCTTATATAATACCACTTAGTCTTAAATTTATGCTGGAAATGAGAAAGATATATACATAATATGTAGTGCTATGCAATGTTAACACTGACACCTTGCCTTATGCTGGTAAAACTGCAGTGGGGTCAGTTAAATTTTATTAGCATGCTCAGTTAGTGCTTTGTATGGGCAATTAGAAGTATACATTGACCCTGATAGCTCAATAGATATCAGTTGGCTTAAAAGTTTTAGGCACATATAAGCATTCCATCAGACATTAATTTGTATTTATACAATGATTAACTGTAAGACTGCAATGTTATCATTTATAATTTTTATTTTAATTCATGAAGAAAAAAAAATGACAAGCTGTGTTATCCACTATAGTAACTATTATCATAATGCTTAAATAAATAATTTATAGCTTAAAACAAAACCAATATTTAATTTTTTTGTCTTTTATCAAAAAAAAGTAGAGAGAGAGAGAGAGAGAGAGAGAGAGAGAGAGAGAGAGATTTAATTGACTGACCCTGAGGCCAGCATATTTCCAGAGCTGGAGAAGCAGACCACCATTAAATAATAATAAATAAATAAATAAATAAATAAGTAATATCACATTATTTCTTAAGTATCATGGTTATCATATATATCATATATCGTGTATCACACCAAATTATCAGGGATTCATTAAATTCACACACTGAAAAATATTATAATGGAAAAAATCCACAGTGAATTGTTCACTGGTGATGGGTGGTGACAGTTGCCGGAGATTCCAGTCCCCACATCTGTGGCACCGGGCCCTGGGAGACATCCCCTGCTGAGTGTCACCTATGTCACTGTTGACAATCCATTATCAGTTCACTTGAAGAGGACTTGCGACAAGGTCAAAATGTCGTGATCGCCGTTTGAAAGTAAGATCCAGTAGTAGATTTAAATTTCTCATTATCTCAAAACAAATATATATATAATGACAACTGTTCTGAACTTTGAACCAGTGGACTGAATAAACCCCTGCACCAAGGTCACCTATAATACCCTCTATCTATAAATACCGGCTGCTACACTGATTCCTCAATTTTGTGCAACTCAAGTCATAAGAAGACAAGATGGTTTTGGCAAGTTTCATCTTTGCATTTCTACTTGTATCAGAACTCGGCACTGATAAGGCGTTTAGTCAGGTGTCACCAAACGCTGTATGCTCATGCCAAGAAGCATACACTTCTGAAGATGGCACAACAACAGTCGTCCTGCAACTGCCCAAGACCAGCACAACAGTTAGCACTAGTAACCAGAGCCTCAGTGAACTTGACAAATTAAAACAAAACTACCAAAAACAAGCGCAGATGTTATCTTCGCAGGGACTTTTACTGATGCAGCAGGCTAAGCAAATTCAGCAAATTGAACTGGTACTCCAAGACCTTAAACTATCCATTTCTAAACCACCTGCTGACTGTCAAGATGTGCTTGTGTCAGGCAATTCTCCCATATCAGATTCTCAGATTACGGCATCATCCATGGTGGATTCTAATCACGGCCCTGCTCACTCTAGATTGTACACCAACATGGACAATCATGCAGTTGGATCCTGGTCAGCTCGCACCAATGACAACAAACAATGGCTGCAATTTGACTTTGGACGTGTAAGAAAACTGACAGCCATTTTGACCAAGGGAAGAAATCAGTATGCTCAGTTTGTCAAAACATACCAAATTCACTATGGCAACAACACTTTGTTGATGAAGGACTATAGAGATGGAACTGGCTCAGTCAAGGTAACTGATCTGTTATCTCTTATCTGTCACACCCTATAAAAATGCCAACCCAAGTGTTTTTATGGTTGGAAATGTGTTGTATATTTTGTGATGTCTGTAACATTTTTTAATCATTTCATGTTCACACCTCTTCATGTTAAGATCAGCAGTCTGGTAACATTAACACTAAACCAGTGGCGGATCCGAAGATATTTTCTGACAGTCTTCCAAATTATCTCTGTTGCTTCATCCTCCATTTTTGACCGTCTTCCGACGGAAAAAAATTAGATACCCATCAATGTAAACTTAAAAATCTGACCGTCTTCCGTAAGACCCAGAAGACGGCCTAAATCCGCCCCTGTAAGCCTTAAAGAAAAAAAAAAAGTTGATAAATGTGCTGAGGTGCAGTAGACAAATGCATCATTTTATGAGATATAGAAAAAGTTTAGACATATCAAAAGTGATGCAAAACGAACAATAATCCAAACAACAATTTGCAGGAAAGTATGCTCGCTACCTGTAACATCGTACATTTTTTTAAAAAAGCAGCTACATGTAGCAGAAATGAAATAAGCTAAAACATTAATTGTTGTACTTTCAGATCTTCCAGGGCAATATTGACTTGGACAACATTCACGAAAATGTTTTGAACCCTCCTGTGTATGCTCGCTACCTGCGTATTAAACCTCTCACTTGGTTCAGGCACATTTCTATGAGAGCCGACGTGCTGGGGTGTTAGCAATTTAAAGACATTACATTACTTTTATAAATGCGCGTGCTCATATAATACCACTTAGTCTTAAATTTATGCTGGAAATGAGAAAGATATATACATAATATGTAGTGCTATGCAATGTTAACACTGACACCTTGCCTTATGCTGGTAAAACTGCAGTGGGGTCAGTTAAATTTTATGAGCATGCTCAGTTAGTGCTTTGTATGGGCAATTAGAAGTATACATTGACCCTGATNATTTACCATAAACATACTATAAACATGTTACACAAAAAGAATATGTTTTTAAAGAACTTAAAACCACCGTTACATAGCTGTTTACATGGCTGTTTGATGACATTGATAATTACGATTAATGACAATTACATAAGACATATAAGTAAATAAGTTACACAGATATAAATATTGTGCCATGTTCAGTCCCACTGCCGAGTCACTTCTCACAACAGTGGGACCATACACTGACATTTTAAGGGCATTTTATATATATGAAAATGAAAACTTACATTTAAACATATATTTGTTTTCATATATGACCTAAAAATCTAGATATCCCAGTGATGAGGTAACAATTCAAAGCATAAAAAATAATATATTAGAAATTGCTACTGTCCTCATGAAAATGATACGTGAAGGCCAACTAGTGTTATAAGAAACAATCAGTATTCAAGTGACACAACTGTTGCAATTTTAACTAAGTTAACTCAGCGATCTCAGCAACCACAATCAAGATCATTGCATATTGTTTTCCTCGTTTCAGATTTAATCAAAACTATTTAATTTTTAAACAAAAATAAATTAAGCAACTTGTAATTGCCTTTTCGCCAAGATATGTTAACCCTTTATCAACATGTAGGTTGTTTAGATGCCGAGGTATATACCAGCTGAAAAAACTTGATATTTGGACAGATATTTAGATTAAAGAAACGCGCGTATATTTGTATATTTCTTATTTACCAAGTAAATATGTTAATGTTTTGTGTAAGATAGATAATAAATTTGAAGATGATATTTATAATATGACACATTGTATTTTAATTCTTAATTCCCAATAATACGTAAGATAAGACGAGTAATGCTGTGTTTCTGTTGAACATTTCGGTATACGTCTTTTAGCGCGCGATAGTACTTACCGTTCAAGATGGCACCGTAAACATTAGACCGTCAGGTGACCACTGCATCAGACTTATACCGTTTCGCAATATCTGATCTAATCACAGAATTGCAAGCAGATAGTTTACAACAAATATTCACAGGCAAAGGTAGGTTGTACATAAATTTTACCATTGATCCCGACTGTGCTATTACAGCTAAAAGGTCAGTTGACCCGGAAACTTGGATATGTTAAAAGTGTTATTGTAAATACAAGAATTACATTTACACTGAAAACAATATGTAAACATAGTGACTACAAAACTTGATGTCGTCCCAAACGCGTCTATAACATAAGGCACAGATGTTGAGCAATCGAAATCACCGACTTTTGTGACATTCAGCTAGCCTTCTGATGCACATGTACAGTGTAGACAAACTTTAATTTTAATGAAAATGATCAAGCAGTGGAAGTAACTCATTGGACTTTCATATTTACCACATTACAGAAAGCCATGACCACCGTCGCCAACCTCATTCACACCATCAGCCTCCACCAAAGTGACGTCAACTGGGTGGCTTACAGCGGCAAGACCCTCGCAACATGTTCTGGAGATAAAACAGTCCGATTGTGGAGCACAGAAGATTTCACCGAGTACCCCTGCTCGCCATTATGTGGACATGGATACTATGTACATTGCTGTGTCTTTTCTCCATTCGGGACAATGCTGGCGTCTTGTTCCACAGACGGGAAGGTGATACTGTGGGACAGTAAGACCGGAGAGAAGAAAGGAACGTTTGAGCATCCTAGTAAAAGTGGCATCAGGGTTTGTAGGTAGGTATATTATATTTATAATGTTTATTATTATGATTATTAGTCTGTGAGTTTTTATACAATTGGAAATGTAAGGCAGGTTTTTAAATGTCATTACTTCTTGCCTACACATTCAAGGTTAAGGTTGTTTAACCTTCCACAGTAAATAAATAAGTACTCAGGTAAGGGGTATCCATTTTTATCATCATATTCACAAGTCTACATAGCCCTTTGTACGCTTTTGAAAAATCATAAAAATGAAGATCCATATTGCTTTCAAGGACATCAGTTTGAGCGTTTTATCTTAAACTTACTCTGAAGGGGGGTGGGGGGGTGTTGGCTGGAAAAAGTTTACGCTTTGTAGACTTGTGAAAATGATGATAAAAACTGATGTCCCCTACCATGTATGGTTGTTTTTCTTCAGGTTCTCCCCAAATTCCTCCTGGCTGGTCACGGGGAGTGATGACGAGACACTGGTGATATGGGACATGAAAACCAAAAAACTACACAGGTATCTCACAAGGCATCAGTATCCGTATATATACTGATCGTGACATCGAGTATCAGGATTTACCCGAAGCTAATCTTTATTAGTTAATACTGGAAACATCCTCATAAAATGTACACTGGGCATATATTTTTTTGTAATTTAATTCATCGTATGTCTAAAAAATTAGTTTTGCTGAATACTAATAGTTGGTTGAGATTTTTTTTCCATAGACATAATTGATATTATTATATCCATTCCAATGAGAAGCAGACTCACAAATTTCTGCAAGAAACACTTCATTCACCATATCAAATTATGTACATGTAACAAATGAAATTTTTTCCTCCTCTTTCCCCCAGAACTCTTGTGGGTCACACAGCCTATGTGAATGCAGTTGCCTATACCCCCTGTAGTGGCTTTCTGGTCTCAGGGTCCTCAAATGGGGACCTCCGTGCCTGGGATGCCGAATTTGGCCACGGGCCGTGTCTTTGGTATGAACTCGAGGGGCATGACTTGGGGGTGATGTGCTGCGAGTTTTCACCAACCTTTGGAGCGGGCAGTAAGTTTTTAGTCTTCCTGGCAGTTCAGAATGAGTTAGGCCGTATTCAGAACAAATGATCTGAGGACTAACTGGCTTTAAACTTGATTGCATTATGCGAGAGTCCCCATGGAAACAGTGCACACTGGCTAGCTCAACCTTACCTATTCTGCACAGTCCATTACAAATCTTTTGTTCAATTTTTAGTTTTTTCAGAAAAGCAACAAGCAACTTTGTACTATTATGAATTCTTCAATAGATATTTTTTTAAAGTATCTAGCAAACCAACAAACATTTTGATTGATGTCATTAATAGAATTTTATTTCATATAATATAATTTTTTTCATTCAATCCTGCTAACAAAATTTACACATCCTGCGTGCTATTGATATTTAGAATACACTGGAGAAATAAACTGTATTTATTTTGATTCAGGCACTCTTAGTTCAACAGGTGAAGTGCAGTATCTTCTAGCAACATGTGGTAATGACAACCTGGTCAAACTGTGGAATTTTAGAGCCCGATTTGGGACCACAGGTAAGTTTTGTGCACCCCGAGTTTCAGATGCTAGAAACTGGCTTCTGCTTTCAGTGTGTCTCTGCCTGTTGCAGTAACTTAATACACAAAACTATGAAACTTGGGGGTATTACTCAGGGATGAGATTTTTTTGACTTTTGTCTGATTTCCAACTTTATGGGAGCCAAAAATATCATTGGGATAGGTGGTCCCTGAACCCCACGCCATATTTTCTGACTTTTTCACTAAATTGCAGTCTCATTCCTGGGTACAGGAAACAGCAGGGGTTAGTTCCCAGCAATTTATCACCACTGAAGCCCAGATTAAGGGGGGGTTTATAATTTGCTTGGCCACAAAAATAGAATCTCAAAATGTAAGATATTTCGTAGTATATGGAACTTTTTTTTTGTTTGTTTTAATGCATGTATATATGGAAAGTACACCGAGTAAAGCAATTTCATCACTACACAAAATTATGCTTTAAGAAAAACAGAGAGGCAGAAGAAAAAGATCAGATAGGGGAAAGCAAATTAAGAAATTCATTTCCAGTTTAGAACTATGCAGTTTATTAAAGTTATTAAAACAAAGTTATTTCTTTCGCCAGATGTCTCTCTGACCCTCCGTGACACGCTAGCAGGACACCGGGAGACCGTCATGGCGGTCTGCTTCTCCAGCTCTGGAAATATGCTCGCCTCGGGGTCAGTAAATTAAATTTCTCTCTCTCTCTCTATTTCTCTCTCTCTTTCTCTCCCTCTCTCTCTCTTTTAATTGATAAAAGACAGATTTAAGCTGTTATTTGAAGCAACTATTTTATTATAGTAACATGATATGGTATATAGATTATTAATTTTTTCCTGATAAAAATAAAACTAAGAAATCATAACATTATAGTCTTACATTTAACCATACCAAACGAGTTAATGTCTAAAACAATGGTTATCAGTGCTTTTGTGCTGTCAGCCTTGTGGGTGTATTATTCTAATGGCCGATAAGAAGCAGAAATCGAGTATATTCACATGTTTTAACTGACCTGGCTGCAGTTTTTTTTCAATTACTAACATAAGGCAAGGTGTCAGTGGTAATATTGCAGACCACTGCAGGGGCGGATTGAGACCGTCTTCTAGGTCTTCCGGAAGACGGTCAGATTTTTCAAGTTTACATTGATGGGTATCTAATCTAATCTATTTTTCTGTCAAAAATGGAAGATGGATCAACAAAGATAATTTGGAAGACTTTCAGAAAATATCTCTGGATCTGCCCCTGCATTGCCTATTATGAAATTAAGATTCATTTCCATTCTAAATTTAAGACGAAGCAGTATTTTATGAGCGTGTGTATTAAGAGAGTAAAATGTCTTTTAATGGCTAACACCCCAGCACATCGGCTCTCATAGAAATGTGACTGTACCATGTGAGTGGGTTAATACGCAGATAACGAGCATACACAGGAGGGTTCAAAACATTTTCATGAATATTGTCCAAGTCAATATTGCCCTGGAAGATCTGAAAGTACAACAATTAATGTTTTAGATTATTTTATTTCTGCTACATGTGGCTGCTTTTAAAAAAAGGACAATATTACGAGTAGTGAGCATACTGCCCTTTAAATTGCTGTTTGGATTATTGTTCATTTTGCGTCAATTTTGTATCTATATATATCTGTCTACTGCACCTCAGCACATTTATCAACAATTTTTTAATGTTACCAGATGGCTGATCTTAAAAAATGAAGAGGTATAAACTAATTTGCATGAGGCAGATACAGAAAAACATGATAGCAGAAATATGTTGATTTTCATTTATAAAATTGATATATTTTTTTTCAATGAAATGTTTGAAAAATGTTACAGACATCACAAATTTTAAACACATTTACAACATAAAAAACACCGGGGTCGACATGTTATAAGGTTAAGACAGATAAGAATTTTAATGATTACCTTGACTGAGCCAGTTCCATCTCTGTATCCCTTCATCAACAAAGTGTTGTTGCCATAGTGAATTTGGTATGTTTTAACAAACTGAGCAATTTGATTTCTTCCCTTGGTCAAAATGGCTGTCAGTTTTCTAACACGTCCAANTGTGACCCCTATTTTGTACCCCTGATTGTGAAACAGCATGAGCACACTATTCTGTAAATTGTTGTTTGGATTATTGTACATTTTGCATCAATTTTGATGTTTCAACTTTTTTTATTCCATAAATTATATATCTGTCTATATCTAAATGATATATCATTCTATTTCTGTCTACTGCACCTCAGCGTGTTAGTCAGCTTTTTTTCTCTTAAAGAATTAGCGTTAATGTTACCAGATGGCTGATCTTAAAGAATGAAGAGGTATAAACTAATTTGCACATGGCAGATACAGAAAAACACGATAGCAGAAATATGTTGATATTCATATATTAAATTGCTGTTTTTTTTTCAATGAAATGATTAAAAAAATGTTACGGACATCACAAATTATCAACACATTTACAACCATAGAAAACACTTAGGTTGATATTTTTCGAGGTTGTGGCAGATTGGAATTTAGATGATTACTTTACTGAGCTGATACCATCCCTGTAACCCTTCATCAACAAAGTGTTGTTGCCATAGTGAATTTGGTATGTTTTACTAACTGCTGTGCTGGACTTGGGCAGTTGCAGGCACTAGTGGGCTTGATTTGGTCTTAAAGTGCAATTTAAGTTCACAAATAGTCTTACATGATCTTAAACCATGAGTAAGACTATTTCTGGTCTAACAGCCAATTAAGTTGTCTCCCCTTACACAATCTCCTATTGTAAGCAGAGGTGTCCTCTATTGTGAGGGGAGGTATCCCACATTGTGAGGGGAGGAAACTGCTTGACCACTTAAGTAGATGTTAGATCATTTTTGATCTTAAAAGCAGATTCAGTCCATTTTAAGACTACTGCTGTAATGTTTCAGATTGTGTAAGATCACTTGTGAACTTAAATTGCACTTTAAGACCAAATCCAGCCCACTAGTGAGGACAACTGTTGTTATGCCATCTTGGGAAGTTTGTGCTTCTTGGCAGGAACATGCAGCGTTTGGTGCCACCTGCGTAAAGGCCTTGTCAGTGCTGAGGGGATGTCTCCGAGGGCCCGGTGACACAGGCGTGGGGACTGGAATCTCCGGCCACCATCACCACCCATCACCAGTGAACAATTCACTGTGGATTTTTCCATTATAATATTTTTCAATGTGTGAATTTAATGAATCCCTGATAAATTTGGTGTGATACACGATATATGATATATATATATGATATATATGATAACCATGATACTTAAGAAATAATGTGATATTACTTATTTATTTATTTATTTATTTATTTATTTATTTATTATTATTTAATGGTGGTCTGCTTCTCCAGCTCTGGAAATATGCTGGCCTCAGGGTCAGTCAATTAAATCTCTCTTTCTCTCTCTCTCTCTCTCTCTCTCTCTCTCTCTTTTTTTTTTTTTTTTTTTGATAAAAGACAAAAACAATTAAATATCAGTTTTGATTTAACCTATATTATTTATTTAAGTTTTATGATAATAGTTACTTATAGTGGATAACACAGCTTGTCATTTTTTTTCCTTCATGAATTAAAATAAAAATTATAAATGATAACATTGCAGTCTTACAGTTAATCATTGTATAAATACAAATTAATGTCTGATGGAATGCTTATAAGTGCCAGAAACTTTTAAGCCGACTGATATCTATTGAGCTATCAGGGCCAATGTATACTTCTAATTGCCCACACAAAGCACCAGGAGAACATACTCACAAATTTTAATTGACCTGACAGCAATTTTACCAGCAAAGGCAAGGTGTCAGTGTTAACATTGCATAGCACTACATATTATGTATATATCTTTCTCATTTCCAGCATAAATTTAAGACTAAGTGGTATTATATAAGCACGCGCATTTATAACAGTAATGTCATGTCTTTAAATTGCTAACACCCCAGCACGTCGGCTCTCATAGAAATGTGCCTGAACCAAGTGAGTGGGTTAATTCGCAGGTAGCGAGCATACACAGGAGGGTTCAAAACATTTTCGTGAATATTGTCCAAGTCAATATTGCCCTGGAAGATCTGAAAGTATAAAAATTAATGTTTAAGATTATTTTATTTCTGCCACGTGTAGCTGTTTTTTTTAAATAAAATGTACAATGATATAAGTAGTGAGCATACTATTCTGTAAATTGTTGTTTGGATTTTTGTTCATTTTGCATCGATTTGGATGTTTTAACTTTTTTTATTCCATAAAATGATATATCTGTATATATCTTATTTAATCTACATTCTATATCTGTCTACTGCACCTCAGCATGTTAGTCAACTTTTTTCTCTTAAAAGTTTAGCGTTAATGTTACCAGATGGCTGATCTTAAAGAATAAAGAGGTATAAACTAATTTGCAAGTGGCAGATACAGAAAAACATGATAGCAGAAATATGTTGATATTCATATATTAAATTGCTGTTTTTTTTCAATGAAATGATTAAAAAAATGTTACGGACATCACAAATTATCATCTCATTTACAACCATAGAAAACACTTTGGTTGACAATTTATGATACGTATTGTAGCAGATTGGAATTTCTACAATTACCTTAACTGAGCCGGTGCCATCTCTGTATCCCTTCATCAACAAAGTGTTGTTGCCATAGTGAATTTGGTATGTTTTAACAAACTCAGCAATTTGATTTCTTCCCTTGGTCAAAATGGCTGTCAGTTTTCTTACACGTCCAAAGTCAAATTGCAGCCATTGTTTGTTGTCATTGGTGCGAGCTGACCAGGATCCGACAACATTTTGGTCCATGTTGGTGTATATTCTAGAACGAGTAGGGTTGTAATCAGAATTGTACATGGATGAAGCAGTGATCTGAGAGTCTTGTATGGGAGAATTGCCTGACACCAGCACATCTTGACAGTCGGCAGGTGGTTTAGAAATGGACAGTTTAAGATCTTGGAGTTCCAGTTCAATTTGCTGAATTTGCTTAGCCTGCTGCATCAGTAAAAGTCCCTGTGAGGATAGCATCTGTGCTTGTTTTTGGTAGTTTTGTTTTAATTTGTCAAGTTCACTGAGGCTTTTGTTACCAGTACTAACTGCTGTGCTGGTCTTGGGTAGTTGCAGGACGACTGTTGTTGTGCCATCTTCAGAAGTGTATGCTTCTTGGCATGAGGATACAGCATTTGGTGACACCTGACTGAACGCCTTGTCAGTGCCGAGTTCTGATAGAAGTAGAAATGCAAAGATGAAACTTGCCAAAACCATCTTGTCTTCTTATGACTTGAAATGCACAAACTTGAATTCCTCTTTTGTGGATTGAGGAATCAATGTAGCAGCTGCTATTTATACATAGAGGGTTGTTTAGATGACCTTGGTACTGGTTTTGATTCTGTCCACTGGTTCAATTTTCAGGACAGTTGTCATTAAATACATATTTGTTTTGAGATAATGAGAAATTTTAATCAACTACTGGATCTTACTTTTAAACGGCGATCACGACATTTCGACCTTGTCGCAAGTCCCCTTCAGGTGAACTGATTATGGATTGTCAACAGTGACATAGGTGACACTCAGCAGGGGATGTCTCCCAGGGCCCGGTGCAACAGATGTGAGGACTGGAATCTCCGGCAACTGTCGCCACCCATCACCAGTGAACAATTCACTGTGGATTTTTTCCATTATAATATTTTTCAATGTGTGAATTTAATGAATCCCTGATAAATTTGGTGTGATACATGATATATGACTCAAAATGATTTAACATTAAGATTTACCGTAAATTGATCATGAATAACCAGGATACATAAGAAATAATCATTATTAATGTCATATTATTTATTTATTTATTTATTTATTTATTTATTATTATTAAATGGTGGTCTGCTTCTCCAGCTCTGGAAATATGCTGGCCTCAGGGTCAGTAAATTAAATCTCTCTCTCTCTCTCTCTCTCTCTCTCTCTCTATCTCTCTCCTTTTTTTTGATAAAAGACAAAAAAATTAAATATTGGTTTTGTTTTAAGCTATAAATTATTTATTTAAGCATTATGATAATAGTTACTATAGTGGATAACACAGCTTGTCATTTTTTTTTCTTCATGAATTAAAATAAAAATTATAAATGATAACATTGCAGTCTTACAATTAATCGTTGTACAAATACAAATTAATGTCTGATGGCACGCTTATAAGTGCCAAAAACTTTTAAGCTGACTTATATCTTTGGAGCTATCAGCGTCATTCATCTTTCTAATTGCCCATACAAAGCACCAACTGAGCATGCTCATAAAATTTAACTGACCCCACTACAGTTTTACCAGCATAAGGCAAGGTGTCAGTGTTAACATTGCATAGCACTTCATATTATGTATATATCTTTCTCATTTCCAGCATAAATTTAAGACTAAGTGGTATTATATAAGCATGTGCATTTATAATAGTAATGTAATGTCTTTAAATTGCTAACACCCCAGCACATCGGCTCTCATAGAAATGTGCCTGAACCAAGTGAGAGGTTTAATACGCAGGTAGCGAGCATACACAGGAGGGTTTAAAACATTTTCGTGAATATTGTCCAAGTCAATGTTGCCTTGGAAGATCTGAAAGTAGAACAATTAATGTTTTAGCTTATTTCATTTCTGCTACATGATGCTGCTTTTTTAAAAAAATGTACAATGTTACAGGTAGCGAGCATACTTTCCTGCAAATTGTTGTTTGGATTATTGTTCGTTTTGCATCAATTTTGATATGTCTAAACTTTTTCTGTATCTCATAAAATGATGCATTTGTCTACTGCACCTCTGCACATTTATCAACTTTTTTTCTTTAAGGTTTACAGGGGCGGATTTAGGCCATCTTCTAGGTCTTACGGAAGACGGTCAGATTTTTAAGTTTACATTGATGGGTATCTAATTTTTTTCTGTCGGAAGACGGTCAAAAATGGAGGATGAAGCAACAAAGATAATTTGGAAGACTGTCAGAAAATATCTTCGGATCCGCCACTGGTTTAGTGTTAATGTTACCAGACTGCTGATCTTAACATGAAGAGGTGTGAACATGAAATGATTAAAAAATGTTACAGACATCACAAAATATACAACACATTTCCAACCATAAAAACACTTGGGTTGGCATTTTTATAGGGTGTGACAGATAAGAATTAATGATCAGTTACCTTGACTGAGCCAGTTCCATCTCTGTAGTCCTTCATCAACAAAGTGTTGTTGCCATAGTGAATTTGGTATGTTTTGACAAACTGAGCATACTGATTTCTTCCCTTGGTCAAAATGGCTGTCAGTTTTCTTACACGTCCAAAGTCAAATTGCAGCCATTGGTTGTTGTCATTGATGCGAGCTGACCAGGATCCGACAACATTTTGGTCCATGTTGGCATATAATCTAGAGTGAGCAGGGCCGTGATTTGAATCATACATGGACGATGCCGTAATCTGAGAGTCTGGTATGGGAGAATTGCCTGACACAAGCACATCTTGACAGTCGGCAGGTGATTTAGAAATGGACAGTTTCAGATCTTGGAGTTCCAGTTCAATTTGCTGAATTTGCTTAGCCTGCTGCATCAATAAAAGTTCCTGCGAAGATATCATCTGTGCTTGTTTTTGGTAGTTTTGTTTTAATTTGTCAAGTTCGCTGAGACTTTGGTTACCAGTGCTAACTGTTGTGCTGGACTTGGGCAGTTGCAGGACAACTGTTGTCATGCCGTCTTCAAAAGTGTATGCTTCTTGGCATGAGCATACAGCGTTTGATGACACCTGACTAAACGCCTTGTCAGTGCCAAGTTCTGATACAAGTAGAAATGCAAATATGAAACTTGCCAAAACCATCTTGTCTTCTTATGACTTGAAATGCACAAAGTTGAAATCCTCTTATGTGGTTTGAGGAATCAATGTAGCAGCTGCTATTTATACATAGAGGGTTGTTTAGATGACCTTGGTACTGGTTTTGCTTCTGTCCACAGAGTTCAAGTTCAAAGTTCAAAACAGTTGTTATTGAAGATCATCAATATGTTTGTTTTGTTCATATAACATTAATTTTTATGCGTAACCCCTATAAAAACGTGAACAGTCGGGCCTGTAGCATCAATTCCATAGGGGTGGGAGTCCTTTTTTTTTTTAAGGTGGAACTTTTTACCATGATGTTACAGCTTAACCTAGATCAGATTTTGAAGCAGAGTGAACCTTTTCCCAGTAAGAGATGCGGTTTACTTGAACAGTCCTATCATACCACTGACATGAACAATTGTGTCATTTGTGGTCTTATTATCATTGTAATTTTGCTGTTTACTGAAAACAGGATATGCCTGGCTCCACAGTGATAAGATTGTTGTTGAATACACTTGGAGAGCATCCAATTTTTTCAAATATAAACAAGTACATCCCCCCCCCCAAAAAAAAAAAAAATAGTTTGAATTCAATTCTCAAATGACAAATTTAGGGAAAAAAAGTTCCCAGCTGAAAGCAAGTTCTTTGACTGTAATCTAAGCCAGTAACTTCAGTACACACGTTTATTCACTGTGATTTTTTCCATAATAATATTTTTCAGTGTGTGAATGTAATGTATCCCTGATAAGTTTGCTGTGATACATGATATGTGACTCAAAATGATTTAACATAAAGCTAAAATTGTAATTAAATAACCATGATAGATATGAAATAGCATTGCATAGTTATTTTTCAATATAGTTATAAAAAGCCTAAATTATTTCTGGGGCAGGTGGTAATACTCCCGTCACACTAGAGGCGGAATGAGCAAGAATGCCATCAGAAAGACAATTCTTTGTGCGTTCCTGGATATTCGAGGAGCATTCTAAAAATTCATAGTGCATTCCAAATATTTTGACCAGCCCGAATGTTTTGCTCACGTTAAAAACTTTCAAAGTGCATTCCAAGTGGAATATTATCGAATGGCATTTGAATAGTATTATAACTGCACTAAGACTGTATTCTAAATATTCTCATGGCATTCCTACAACATTCGAAACATTCTGATCACATTTGAGGGAGAACCCAAATGGCAAGACACTTCAAATCCTGCTAAAATGAGCCAGGATGCAATTCGAATGCATCTCAATCCTATTTCAGCCAGCAATCGAACTACACTTGTACTGTATTCGAAGTGTATTCTAAATATTCTGACCGCGTTCTGACAGCATTATTTATATTCCTAGTTTTCCAACTACATTCGAGCTGCATTTGAGAGTTAATCATTCCAGGCAGATTCAAGCACATTCCGAGTATTCCAACGGCATTCTTACAAGAATTTAGGTCAAATTGAAATTTCTTCCCGAATGAAGTACGAAATTTTAAATTTAGTCACTCCGGCTGGTTCTGCTTGATTCCTGCTGATTCCGAATAAGTGTGACGGGGGCTTAATGCATGAACAAATATGTATAAATATTTACATCTACAGTTGTTTTTTGTATCCTGGCCTGGATAAGGGACAAAGTTTTTTATGAGTACAAGTACCTAAATTTGGATGTCCCGTAAATCAGTGCACTTTTTTTCTTCTTTTCTGCTTCAGGTCAAGTTGCATATCTGTGCATTTACTGTTTAATATCCCCCCACCCTTTTTCTCTTACTTTCAAAATTATCTTTGACAAAAGGATGCTGTTGACATTTATTTACATTAGACTGTTTATATTTTTTAGGTCTGGTGATAAAACAGTAAGGTTGTGGGACCCTGTGAGTATTTAATTATTTATTTATTTATTTATTATACATACACATTGTATTTATATTTACACCTAAGAAAACAATTCATTCCATTGAAAGCAGCATGTAGGTTTTTTTTTTCCCAGATTGCATAGTTGTAAAACAATTGTTGAAATTGATGATTGATTGATGAAATAATCAGCATCCATGTTGTGATATTATTATTCATTTCTTGATATAATTTTGTTTTAAGCATTTTAGTGCTGACAGAACAGTATATGTACATGCATATAGAGGATATAAAAGATAAGAAAATATAAAAGAACAGAAAAAAATGCATCTAGCTGTTTTCACTTTTTGATGTCAGTTAAGTTTCACATTACACAACCTAACTTGATTGTTCGGTTTTGAGAAATTAAAATTTTTATGTTAAAGAGTTTTCGCCTGCATTTGATATATCTTGTAGGAGAATATTAGAATTTATTATATATATATATTTTTTTTTGGCTTCAGCTCAAAGGGGAGCCATTACACACTATAGAAGGACACTCCAGGTAAATNAAACTTAATCTTTAGATCGATCTAAATCTCTGGGAAAGCACCCTAAAAGTTCAGAGAATATATTGTCAGCACTTAACCACAGATAGTGTTATTTTTCTTTGACTGCATAAACATTATGAATGATGGGGATATGCTCATCCCACAGCCGGCACTTTGAACAGTGGAATAATTAAACTTATGTATTTGCTTACATGCTCGCTTGTATTTTCTCTGCAGTCCAAGTATTAAATCATTCTAAAATTGTTTGAAGTGTCAATTGTAGGAAAAATCAATTACAACTACTCATTACCCATTGTTTGCCACATTCCGAGTACAAGAGGGTAATTATTTATATTGAGGCACAACCGCTTAAAAGTCCCACTGATACATACTCCCGTTGTAACTAGTATTTATTAATACGTATCATTGAAATTTAGATTAAAACAATATTATACTCTTTTACAATCTAGCACTAGTCTGTTGTAACTAGTATGTATCATTGAAATGTTGATTAAAACGATATACTTTTTCAATCTAGTACTAGTCGGGGCTGACTATTTGATATACGTACATATGTTGAAGCAAAGAGACACAGGTGCATGTTAAGTGCTCCGTCAAGATATTATATCAAAAATAAGGCTATGTCCTTCAGCGGTTTTTTTTTTTTTTTTTTTTTTTTTTTTTTTTTTTTTTAAATCTAAACCTGCTGGGTGGGTTTTTAGTTTTGAATTATACTATTATACTGTAATGAAATGAAAATGTGACCAAATAACCAAAGATACAGTTATTTATATTTTCTCCTAATTTCATTGCTTCATCTCCATCTGTTGGATGATTTTTAATTTTATTTATTATTTTATTTTTTTTTTTACAATACAAAATTGAATGTGTTTGTAAAAAGATTGCAATTTTCAGGTGTAACATCATTAGCTGTGCATTTCCTTTCTCTATAATATGATGATGTTTATTCCATATTTTTTTCTTCTTTGTGAATCAGCATGTTTTTATCCCATTGGACCAAAAAAGTCAATAATGCATAATCTCATGTTTTTTCCTACTTTTCATCTTGCTTGGTTAATTGTTGTTAAATGTGCTGTATGAGTGATAGTCAAGGCAAAATTGCAGTTTTGCCAAATTTTGCTCTTATAGTAAGCACTTAGTTTTAAAGTGTGATCAAGGAAAACAAATAAATTACATTGAAAATATATCTGTAAAGATCAACTATGATAGAAAAAATGTGCCCTTTCAATAAAGATCAATTATCTATCATAATTGATCTTTACAGATACCTTTTTGAATGTCATTTATTTATTTCCTAACAAGATCAACACAGTGATTATGATAGATCATCAAGGGGAAAATGAGATGCTCTAGATATATATCTGCATGGCCAAATAAGGAGAGTAAAATGTCAGATGAACTTTTTGAACTGTGATGTCTTGTTCTTAAATTTACATTTGATTTTGTAAAAGTTCAGTTTTAATCTTGACATTGTACACAGTGCTGGAACAAATGTGAAGTGCAGTCTTAAAAAGGATGTATTTATTATTATTATAATTATTAATTGGATTGTGACCGAACATGTGTAATTAAAAATACATGTACGTTACATTAATGAGAACTAACGTACTAGTGCAGGCATTCAATACACTATAATACCAATGGTTTTTTTTTTTTTTTTTTTTTTTTTTTTGGAAATCTTGAAATCAGATGTGCATTTTAACCTGCAAGTAATACTTCTATTGTTATTTATGCTGTTATGTTATTAATTATACAAGGATACTTGAAATGAAGTCATAGTTTTTATTATTATTATTATTATTATTATTATTATTATTATTTCTATCTCAGATGAGACAAGTGTTCTAGTAGATTTCTAATATTGTTAATTAAATATGACATTGCAGGAATTATAAATGCATTCTATACTCAGAAACTGGAGATTTCAAACCTTTCCTATAGTTAAATGGAGAAAAAGGTTTTTATTTATTTATTTATCTTTTATTTGCATGAGTCTCAATAAAAACGTTAAATTAAATCGGTATTAAGTGTTATCATTTCACAAATTATTCTCATCACAAGGAAAGCTTTGTTGAATAATCATCCTGGGATAAAAGAGCAAGCAAAAAAAGGAACAAAATGCCTCATATGACTCATGACCATGAGCGTAATTTTTTTACATAATTATTATTTATATACAGACGGTGTGTCAATACATATAATGAGTACAATTTTGTACATTTAGCCATTACCTGTATCTGCCTCGGAGTGAGCACGCACCTTTCACCGTTAACTCAAGAAATGTGTAACCGTGTGACTTACACCCCATTTCCATAGATTTTTAGATCGATCTATCCCTGTGGGGAGTCTCACTAGATTACTGTCAGCTTGGCCGGCTTAAGCGTCTGTCCCGCCTACTAAAAGCTGTAAGGGGGTAATTAACTATGGTGTCCGCTCGGCTGACTGCAATTTAGCCTGAACCCCCAGGGAGTTAGGTCGATCTAAATCTTAATCTTTAGATCGATCTAAATCTCTGGGAAAGCACCCTTATTCTCCTCAGACGAACAAGAATGAATCCCAGGACTGTGAAACACAGTGAGATAACTAGAAAAAGGAACCAATGCGAGATTGTCTATTGAAAAATACAGATAATGTGTATGTACATGTAACCTCTTAAATAAGAATATTGCACGCAACGTCACAGTATTTACCATCACCATCACGTTGATGTATATCATAGTACATGACAACACCAAGTTTTACGAAATGCAGTCCTATAAAAATTGGCATGTGCTCGACCACGAGAGAAGTTGCATATTCTAACCGTCCGTCTCGTTAATTCTTGCTCTAATCCAAATCTCGTTTGACGGCATCATCTGCTGTGCCAAGGTCGTCTCACATTGTATGCAGAAATTTCATATAATAAACTGTACACCGCAAACGTGCACTATAATCTGGCTGTGACAAAAGCAAGGAGTGGCCAGTAGGAGCCATTAGGAGCTACCTCTACGGAACCAACGGGCCCCTCCGAAGGGAACCAATGGCTCTAGTAGGCCTACAGGGTCTTTGAAAAAATATGATCTGGTCTGTCATAGGCTTTTTGTTATTATTGCCTAACCTTTCCCTCAAATAACTGCATGTACAATTTTATATTTTTATTTATTTTTTTTTAACTAGGGCATGGCTTAATTACTATATTTTTCCTTAAAACGTATTGCGCTTGAAAAACAAGCTTTAATATAATGGTATCATGTTTTCTTGATCATGAAAAGAGCCGTCTAGGTTTTCATCAAATTTACCCATAATTATAACCACTCAGATGATCCTAGGACTCATTGTGCATAGTTATGTAACATCCCCATGAGAACAAACTTGAAAGTGATTTATAGCTGCTACGCACGCAACCAGGTTATACAGTTAGATGATAAACATAGCAATTAAAACATCAAAACGATCATTGTGTGTCGAGCTACAACCAGCACTAGAACCTTGCCGTGACATTAGGAGAAAAGGTTGGTTAATCACCATAGAATCTAATGTACATTTCATCTCAACTGAGTAAAATAATTTCACTAAATACATGTTAGAATACCTTGATCTTGCACAAGTGTAAAAGTATTATATATGTACTCTTTAAGACATTATAATAATTATATTTAGTTGAAAATACTTTTTTAAAGTTTGATCCTAATGTACATATATTATAATAACCAATCTCCTTCACTGTATGTTAGGGTATCCCAGGTAATATGTAAAACTTGCCTCATTGTTATTGAAAAAGCAATGCCGGTTAGCATATATACAGTCACAATTTATCTCCAAGGGTCCCCAACTTTGTATATTTGATTATTTTTTCCCTTTTTTTGTTCAGAACTCGGATGGCAATGAAGAAATGCATACTCATGGCATTGTTTGCTGTTGTCTCTGTGATACTCATAGGGATACTAAATAAGGCTCTTACGGGGGTATCAGTGATATATATATTAGCAAAGGAAAAGATAGTTCCCAAGAAAGGACAGAACAACCGCAATTTGTTTATCTCATCCAAGGCGCATCAAGACACCCTATTCCCGGCCTTAACGTTTCCCCGAATAGAGAAATGATTTGGCTGACTTACAGAGACAAAACAGGCGACATTTACTTTCCGAATAGCACTCACACCGAAGGTCGTAACCGGCTGCTTTGGGAAGCAATTGACCGTGCATCTATGAGGAAGGACGGTGGCTACTTGTACTACCTATTTCTGGACGATGATTTGGTGCTTACTAATGAGAATGATACAAAACGATGGTGGAGAAAAAAATTACCACGCAACCCATTTGATCGATTTGAACTGTTTTTACACGATTTCCTACCGACAGTTGGGTTTGCAAAACATACGTTAAATATCAATGATGCTCCAGTCCCCGTGGGGGTGAGATACAACTTCGATGCTATTTTCAACGGGTTCCACCGCCACACAATTTCCTTCATGTTGCCATACATCACCGATTTAGATCACAATTCATGGTGGTTTTCGCAGTGGTTTGTCATTCACATCTCTGCGATGTTTTATAATTCACACCGTGTCCTTTGCAATGCACCCTGAGCTTCAGAGCTAACTTGACACTAACCTTTTCACTGTAGCCTATCTCCATCGTGTCAAGTAACCTCTGACCACATTCGATTGCCCCCGCCGCCCGCCAATCAAATTTAAAGCCCGCACTCAATGACTCATTGAACGATCTAGCCAATGAACGCGAACGAGTCAAAGCGCGCTTTGTTCAAATCCGGACCAATCAAAGATAAGGCTAAATATCAGGGACTTGCCGTAACCTGTGGGCAGCACGCAAAATACATCATCCCTCAGTAGATAATGATGCAGGGCATCA